ATTTTTAGGTGATCTATGTTGCACGAAATCCAAAAAATGCAGCTGTGTCGCGATATCATCAAGACCGTTCCTTAAGAACAGTAAGCTATATAGGAAATTTTGAACAGTACTGGGACCTATTTGAGAAAAACTTAAGTACATATACATAGCAACAAGTTTATTTTACGAGGATGTAAAGAATTTTATCTGCTCCCACTTATAGTAAATAGACTAGTAATACATTGTTTTTAAGGAGGTAAGTGGATTTTACTGTAGAAGTGGAAGTTGTTATGGACAATGGGAGGTAAGTGAGGTAATTTACCTCTCTGGGGAAAAAAGCGATTTCAAGTTATAAACGCATATTTTATGAACAAATAAATAGAAATATTTGATGAACATTACATTTTATTAATTATTATGAATGAATATTTAAAGTAATTGTACAGTTATTACATTTAGTAACATTTATAAAGTCTAGATAATTATTCCCCTCGCGTTTACTAATTATCACATTTTTTTAAAATGATTTGACCGCTCCATTTCAGTCACCGGGGGCTCGTTATTATCCTACTGATCCACTAAACCAGCATGATGCGACGTACTACTAGAACCTGGAGTTGAAGTATCATTGTAAAGAATCCTGTTAGCTATTTCATTTTTGTTACTTAAACTGTCGGCAACTTAACTTTCGGCAATTGTGGCTGATTTCCACCCACCATGTCTCTTGTTTGCTAATACATCAACTCCTGTATTAGACTCTAACGTTGCCGATGTTCTTCGGATTGAATGGCCTGTGTATGTTTCAAGATGTTCTAGTTTCAAAAACTGTGCAATATTATTAGGAATCATAAAAAGGGTATTCTTGCATGAACCATAAAGAACTATGGGAGCAGATAAAATGTTATACACCACGTAGCAGTTAAGTATAAATTTCCAGTCTCGAACTCTATTCCTAGCCCTCGCTCCGCTCGGGCGCAAAATCATCCTCGACTGATAAATCATACTTAACTCCTTTATGGTGTAAATAACTATTAAAATTGCTTTTGTGTAAAATTTACAGTTACTTACTACAAATTGCTTATGATCAAAATTCTACATTTGTTTATCTGAAAGCGTCAATGTGTAGAATTTTACCATTGCTTATGAGTAAAATTTTACAATAACCTATGTGCAGAATTTTGCAATTGCCTGTGTATGCCTGTAAATTGCACAATATCTTATTAGCACCACACAATAGTAATTTGTTTCAGTATATTTCACACCATACTGGGAACATTTAGAAGAAGCATGGCAGCAAAGAAGTAACAAAAACCTTTCGTTCTTCTTCTTCGAAGATGTGATAAAGGTAAATATGTTTAGTTACTATAATTTTTTCTTAGAGATGCCCCTCTGAACACCTCTTATTGGTATTTTTATTAACTGTAACAAATTTTAAGGATTATAAGAAAGCTATTGTGGAAGTGTCAAATTTTTTGGAAAAAACTATGAGCGATGAACAAATATCGAAGCTAGCAGACTACCTGCGGATAGATAATTTTCGTAAGAGAGATCAACTTAAATTAAACTCTATGCTAAACATTATAAGTGCGCGAGATCCCTACCAACATGTTAGAACAGGAAAATCCGGTGATTGGGATGAATATTTTACCCAGGAGCTTGAGGCAAGAGCAAACAAGTGGATAGAAGAGAATTATAAGAATACTACATTAAGATTTCCAGTAAAATTGTATTAATTATTTTGGGCAGATCAAAATATATACTTGTCATTAGAATTGAGTGTATTTCATTTTATCGCAATTGCCACCTGCTAGCCAAACACTTCTTCAAAATTTATGAATGTGTGTCAGCGAAAAATTAATAAAAAAAATAATTTTTATTTTTCTGCTTTCGACTACAATATTATTAAGGTAGAAGATAAAATTAAAAACAAACCCATGTTAGGAACAAAAAAGTCATACAAAAGATACTTACTTAGCTCTATCTAGTATATAATATGTAAATATGTATGTATACGCAAATATCTACTTAGCTATAAGTATGTGCAGCTCTAAAGTATACATATTTAAATACGTACTTAGCTCTATGTATTTAGCTCTATGTACTTAGCTCTATATAGTTAGCTCTATCTACGTCTCCAGAAACTGTACCATTCTGAGGGTATACAAGACCGGAAAAAGGCAAAATAAATTATAACGCTTGAAAAAAAGAGCGAACAAATAGACAGAAGGGACTTATAAGAACCCAACTTTGAGATTTCCAGGAATGCTGTATTAACGGATTTGAGAAATTTTCATTTTAACAAATAGTAACAGTAGCAGCGGTAATTGAAAACTACTACATAGTTAAAATTCACTTCTTTCATTTTCGTATAGTATTTCCAGTATTCAGTAAACATTTCTTAAAATAGCTCAGTCATTTTGTAGTTTATGGTCAACCTAATATCTGTATTACATAAAAATGTATATAATCCTTGAACAAATATTTATTTATCCCAAAATAATTGTGTTTGATACTTTACTAAAAGTTAGAATAAAAAATATTTGGAAAGAGATAACATTCTGTACGCATATTATGGCAATTAAAATTTTATCTGTTACGATACATATTTATTGCCGTAATTTTGGGAGTAATCGTAATTTAAACAAGATAATGACCAATATATATATATACAAACTTTTTTAAAAACAAATTAGTGCCATACATTGAACTTATCGGATTCAAAATAAGTATCAACAAATTTCCATTCGAAATTAGACCGATACAACCTGAACTGGATGAAAAAATCAAGTCACTGTTTTTAGGTAACCGTAGAATTATTGTAACAAATTAATTTTTTTGCATTTGATTTACTTTTCACAGGTGAGAAAGACGGATCTGTGAAAATTATCCCAAGAAAGTATGTATTTGATTCTAAGTACGACCAAGCAGCTGAAACTATACAGGGATGGCCAGAAGTACCGAATAAAATTCATATCTTTTGAATGAGTTATTTTTTTTTAAAACGCCGAAACACGTTAATTGATTTTGATTTTTCCCCATCTATCGGTTATATAATAATTAATTTTTCTTCAACCCCCTAACCCCCAGCTACCCCTACTTTATTTTTTCAAATGGAAACATAAGGCATGAGGGGGGTCGTTGAAAAGCTTATAGAAAACTGAATCCAGCCATACCAAATAAACAAGTTTTATTTTTTCAATAGCAAGTTTTTTTTCATTTAGAAATTGAAACAACTAGATAATTTACAAAAATAATCTCAATGTCGCAAATGCTGAAAATGTCCTCCATTCACTATTTGGCATTCTCCAAGACGATAGTAAAAGCTGTCTACAGCATTCTGAATGACTTCAGCTGCTAAATTATGTATCTCCGGACTAATTTTGTTCTTTAAATTCTCAATATTATCCGGTCTGTCCTGGTAGACTCTTTCTTTCAAATATCCCCAAAGAAAATAATCCAGGGGTGTTAAGTCGGGGGATCTTGGCGGCCATTCAACTGTACCCCGTCTACCAATCCAGCGATTTGGAAACATTTCATCTAAGTATCTTCGAACATCAATACCAAAATGTGGGGGAGCGCCATCTTGTTGGAACCAAATTCTTTCATTCGACATCGTCCGATCTCACTTCAAAATTGTATATAGTTTCAGCTGCTTGGCCATACTTAGAACCAAATATATCCTTTTTTGGGCCAATTTCCACAGATCCGTCTTTCTCACTTGTGAAAAGTAAATTAAATGCAAAAAATTAATTTGTTGCAATAATGCCGCGGTTACCTAAAAACGGTGACTTGATTTTTTCAACCAGTTCAGGTTGTATCGTTCGAATGGAAATTTGTTGATACTTATTTTGAATCCGATAAGTTCAATGTATGGCACTAATTTGTTTTTAAAAAAGTTTATATATATATATTGGTCTTTATCTTGTTTAAATTACGATTACTCCCAAAATTACGGCAATAAAAATGTATTGTAACAGATACAGTTTTAATTGCCATAATATGCGTACAGAATGTTATCTCTTTCCAAATATTTTTTATTCTATCTTTTAGTAAAGTATCATATACAATTATTTTGGGATAAATAAATATTTATTCAAGGATTATATAAATTTTGTTGACCATAAACTACAAAATGACTGAGCTATTTTAAGAAATGTTTACTGAAAACTGGAAATACTATACGAAAATGAAAGAAGTGAATTTTAACTTTGTGGTAGTTTTCTATTACCGCTGCTACTGTTACTATTTGTTAAAATGAAGATTTCTCAAAACCGTTAATACAGCATTCCTGGAAATCTCAAAGTTGGGTTCTTATAATTCTCCTCTGTCTATTTGTTCGCTCTTTTTTCAAGCGATATAATTTATTTCGCCTTTTTCCGTTCTTGTATATCCTCAGAATAGTACGGTTTCTGGAGACTTTGACTGCAAGATATCAAGTTCAAAGTTCGATCTTATTCCTTGATCGGCCCACAAAGGTCGAGTAGCGAATTCCGCCTAAGATTTGGATAACTGACCTTTTTGAATATATCGCTCACATTACCTGACATAAGAACAGTCATAATCCATACATCATCTAACTTGACTTGGAAATTATACAAAATTTCAGCACCTCTACCGTACTTATGTACATATTATAGCTAGACATACTTAGAGCTAAGTACATAGAAAGCTAGGTTCATAGAGAGCTAAGTACATAGAACTAAATACATAGAGCTAAGTTCGTATTTAAATATATAAACTTTGGAGCTGCACATACTTAGAGCTAAGTAGATATTTGCATATGTACTTGCATATTTACATATTATATACTAGATAGAGCTAAGTAAGTATCTTTTGTATGACTTTTTTGTTCCTAACATGGGTTTGTTTTTAATTTTATCTTCTACCTTAAGAATATTGTAGTCGAAAGCAGAATAATAAAAATTATTTTTTTTATTAATTTTTCGCTGACACACATTCACAAATTTTGAAGAAGTGTTTGGCTAGCAGGTGGCAATTGCGACAAAATGAAATACACTCAATTCTAATGACAAGTATATATTTTGATCTGCCCAAAATAATTAATACAATTTTACTGGAAACCTTAATGTAGTATTTTTATAATTTTCTTCTATCCACTTATTTGCTCTTGCCTCAATCTCCTGGGTAAAATAATCATTCCAGTCACCGGATTTTCCTGTTCTAACGTGTTGGTAGGGTTCTCGCCCACTTTCTCGTATAATCTTTAGCATAGAGTTTATTTGAAGTTGTTCAGACTTACGAAAATTATCTATGTGCAGGTAGTCTGCTAGCTTCGATATTTGTTCATCGCTCATAGTTTTTTCCAAAAAACTTGACAGTTCCACAATAGCTTTCTTATAATCCTTAAAATTTGTTACAGTTAATAAAAATACCAATAAGAGGTGTTCAGAGGGACATCTCTAAGAAAAACTTATAGTAACTAAACATATTTACCTTTATCACATCATCGAAGAAGAAGAACAAAAGGTTTTTGTTACTTCTTTGCTGCCATGCTTCTTCTAAATGTTCCCAATATGGTGTGTAATATACTGAAACAAATTACTATTCTGTGGTGCTAATAAGATATTGTACAATTTACTACATACATAGGCAATTGCAAAACTTTGCAACTGTAAAATTTTACAAAGCCAATTTTAAACGTGAGCAATGATAAAATTATACACAGATATTTGTAGAATTATTCACAAAAGCAATTATAAAATTTTGCACATAAGCAATAGGAAGATTTTGCAGTTATGCAATTATAAAATTCTACACCAAGTAAATTGTAAAATTTTACTCATAAGCAATGGTAAAATTTTACACATTGACGCTTTCAGATAAACAAATGTAGAATTTTGATCATAAGCAATTTGGACACACACACTAACATTTGCAGAATTTTACATATAAGTAACTGTAAAAATTTACTTAGGCAATTGTGAAATTTTACATACGAGCAACCGTAAATTCTACACAAAAGCAATTTTAGTAGTTATTTACACTACAAAGGAGGTAAGTATGATTTACCAGTCGAGAATGATTTTGCGCCCGAGCGGAGCGAGTGCTGGCAATAGAGTCCGAGACTGGTAATTATACTTAACTGTTGCGTGGTGTATAACATTTTATCTGCTCCCACAGTTCTTGGTTTATAAAATAAAGATTAGGTTTTATTTTTTGACATTTTTTAATCAATTCATTTTGACATTATTCGAAATCTTGCAAAGTCGCCTTGGTTGTTTGGATTTTATCGTTTCTAATGTGTTTATAATACATAAAAGTTGCAATTTTACTGATTTTGAATTATTATTTCTAAATGAGTGATTTTCAAATAAAAAATGCAGCAAATCCCTGCGAATTTTTATTGCCCGAAATGTCGAAAAATAGTAGTGTTTCTGAAATGCCACTGCTAGCATATTCCATGGAGGAGTCAAGAACTTTAATGTCACCGGTGAGTTTGTGGAGTCAATGATTAGGGCAACTATTTTTATAGAGGAGAACGCGGATATATCAAAATACCCCAAGTTGAGAGCATTTTTGAAACGTAAGAATGACGGCCATCCACCTAATAAGTCAAATGTTTTTAAAAGAGAACAAGTCAACGATTTTCTCGTTCAGGCACCCGTTAACACATATTTGCTAATGAGAGTAGTGATGGTCTTAGGCATTGCAGGAGCATGCCGTTCTGATGAGTTAATGTAATTCTAGATTCTAAAAATGGTATGTCACGTACGTTTACAATTACTTTTCGCCTGGGTTCTGTTGCTCACCTAGAAATTTTCAAGAAATATATCAAGATTAGAATTGGAAATTAAAACTGAAATTTCACGTTTTTTTATGCGCTATGTAGATGTTACCCTTTCTATGATTCCTAATAAGATGATAGAACATGCTGAAACATATACAGACCATTCATTCCGAAGAACATCGGCAACGTTACTGGACAATGGCTAATACACGAGTTGATGTATTAGTAATCAAGAGACATGGTCGGTGGAAATCAGACACAATTGCAGAAAGTTATATTGCTGACAGTTTAAGTAACAAAAATAGCCAACAGGATTCTTTACAATGACACTTCAATTACAAGTTCTAGCAGTACGTCGCATCATGCTGTTTTAATGGATCAGTCAGTTAATATTGAGCCTCTGGTGACTGAAATGGAGCGGTCAAATCATTTTGAGAAAAATGTGACAATTAGTAAACGCGAGGGGAATAATTATCCAGATTTTATAAATGTTACTAAATGTAATAACTGTACAATTACTATAAATATTCATTCATAATAATTAATAAAATGTAATGTTCATCAAATATTTATATTTATTTGTTCATAAAATACGCATATATGCATTTATAACTCGAAATCACTTTTTTCTCTAGGGAGGTAAGTTACCTCACTTACCTCCCATTGTTCACAACAACTTCCACTTCTACAATAAAATTCACTTACCTCCTTAAAAACAATGTATTACTAGTCTATTTACTATAAGTGGGAGCAGATAAAATTCTTTACATCCTCGTTAAATAAACTTGTTGCTATGTATATGTACTTAAGTTTTTCTCAAAGAGGTCCCAGTACTGTTCAAAATTTCCTATATAGCTGGCTATTCTTAACGAACGGTCTTGATGAAATCGTGACACAGCTGCATTCTTTGGATTTCGTGCAACATAGATCACCTAAAAATTGTGGTTTATTAATGCTTACTGATATCTTACGCGTAATTATTGACAGATACCTTTGCTCCTGATGTGAGCAGGGTCGGAGGTAACAGGGACAAGGGTAAATGGCTTTTAATGAATCTCCTACCTACTGTATTTTCTAAAACTTCCCATTGGGGTATCACCGACTCTTTGTAGTCTTCCCACAGTTTTTGATCATTCCTCATTTCCTCTTTTATCTCTGCCCAAACATGGTCTGGCCTCAGTGTTGTTATCCTAGACAAGTCTATGGTAAGTAAGTAATGTTTTGAATAATAATAATTATTATAGTTATCATAATAATTATGATGATGATGACGATGAAGATACGAATAATAATAATAATCTTTATTGATGTATGCATACAAAAAAAACGCATTGTAGTAAGCAGTTGTAAGTTGTTGAGTAGTGATACACTTCATGTGCAGGAACCCTAAGGTTTCCAAACCGTTCTACTACCTCATAATTTTATGTGCCTCATCTGCTGTTTATTGTTATATTGTTTACTTACTCTAGAAAGGGAAACCTTTTAAAACGTGAAACGTTCTTCGCCGTATCGTAATCGTCGTTCAGTATCAACCATGCCATCTCCTGCATCAGAGTAGTACCTATAGGCAGTCCGTTAGTTTTTCATCCAGAACATTAATTAAAAAAAAAATTAATTTGCTAAAATAATACGAATCTCCATACCTGACCTTAGAAATGTAACGACCCACACATCATCCGGTCTTACTTGAAAATTGTATATAGTTTCAGCTGCTTGGCCATATTCAGATCTAAATATATATTTTTTTGGGCCAATTTCCACAGATCCCTCTTTCGAACCTGTCAAAGTCACAAAAGTAAATTAATCGCAAAAAATTTAATTGGTTGCAATAATTCTGCAGGTACCTAAAAACAGTGACTTGATCTTTTCATCCAGTTCAGGTTGTAGAGGTCTAATTTCAAATGGGAATTTCTTGATACTCATTTTGAATCTGATTAATTCAATTTGTGGTACTAATTTGGCTTTTAAAAAAGTTCGTATATATACATATATTGGTCTTTATCACTGTTTAAATGACGATTACTCTTAAAACTACGGTAATAAAAATTCATTGTAACAGATAAATAGCATAATATACGAAAATAACGTTATCTCTTTGCAAATTTTTTTTATTTATTACTTACTTGGAAATAATTATTTAAGGATAATTATATTTCGTTTATTAATACACATCACAGTAATATTTCAATGCTGCTACTTTATGTTGTAACTGACTAGTATCTGTACAGTTTCTATTTATATGCAATTTTACCTAATTTGAAGCTTTTATTTTTCTATAAATATTTTTTTTTGTAGCGTTAGTATAACTACGAACGTATTTCCTAAAAATAGTGGTAGAAAATGGATTAATTTTTTAGGGTATATTACACTCATCCATCATTTCCACTTGATTTAGGTTTTTGTCTGTTACTATCACTTTTTTATTTATCTTTGGGAACACGTTCCACTATGTTTCATTTAAACAAATAGGTCTTCACAAGTTTTTTTATATTTTGTATTACAGCTAGTACTGTTATTAATATTTTTGTTGAGTGGCAACCTGATATCCTGCATAATTTATCAGATAAGTGAGGTAACTCTTCGTATGGTGGTAGTTTGTTTAGAACTTTTGTTACAGTGAGATGCTAAAAAGTATTTCTGAATCGTTTTTTGTGAGTTCTTCATGTCACAAATTATCAAAACGTTATTGATATTTTATATAGAGTTACTATAATAAACAATGAAGGAATTGTATTTTCCCAAATGACAGTCCGAAGGTGATTAGCAGAAGAAAACCCGATAGGTCGTTGTCGACCAAAAACCACCTTTGATGGAGGTCATGAAGAAGATGCGGCTGCAATGGGCCCAATAACTCCAGAAAATGACTGCATTCGAATGAGAACAACTAATTAAAATAGTGTTAATAAAGACTTTTTTGTGATTATCTCAATATTTTCCGACGAATCAGGGTTTCAAATTTTGGTCGACAAAACTTCATTTCTCCGACGACGTCTTGGAGAGAGCAGTTCCATCCAGACTGCCTTGAGCTGAGGGTTAAATACCCGGTTGGTGTCATGGTATGATCTATGATTCCAGCAAAGGGCATAGGACGCCTATACATCGTGCAGGGGATCACGACGCAGGATCCGTACAAACGAGTACAAAAAATCCTACAGAGTCTGATGCAAAGTCCATTTTTATGCAGGATTTGGCACCGTGCCACAAAGCCAGGAGTGTTAGTGCATTCCTGGCTGAAAAAACATTACAATTTTGCCCTGACCGGGCATGAACCCTATAGAGAACATGTGGGGACTCACCAAACGGGTAATTGCTATTAAGCTGATCACCACCAAGCACCAATTGGTTGAAACTCTTGTCGGAGAATGGCATCACAACGTCGAACTCCAACATGAGCATGCCTCGAGACATAAAAGCTCTAATTGCGGCAAAGGGTGCATCACTAAATACTAAGATTAATTTTAACAGATTTCCATTAATGCACATATAGCTTTTACGAAAAAAAATAAATAGTTTTGCCCACGTAACTCGTTGCCGCAGCACAGTTTTTGCAACATTCAAAATACACTTGTAGCATGTCCACATATTCATCATTAGTAAAATTTGGCATAATTCTTGTTAATTTACATCCAAAAAGTATTTAGCTGATAACAGTGACAACTTACAGAAGAGTTAATTGTGACAACTGGCATGACAGCAGCACACTTAGTTTTTCTTTGATTGATTGCAATCATATACGGTGTGTGGTGAATGGTAATACATTTTATTTTTTTATTAATAAACGAAAAGTTTTAAAGGAAAATTGCTAGTGAGGTAAAAGTTTATAAAAGAACCAGTTTATCTAATGCGTATTTTTGTATATCGAGTTTTTACGAAATATAAAAGTTATGGCAAAAAATGGCTTGAGGGGTGGTTATTTCAACCCCTTTCGAGGGGTGAAAATTTTCGAAAAATAGTTGAAAACTCGCATCTGTATTATTAAACAACCTGTAAAAAATTTGTTATTTGTACCTCGTTCGGTTTTCAAATTACAGCCAATTTTCATAATTGTTTTGGAAACTGATGGCCCATATCTCTTCAGGGGTGAACATTTTACTAAAGTGATTTTTTGCATATCGTGTTCTTTTGAAATGTAGATTCACTGGTATCATTTATGCTACTCCATTCAAAAACACCCTGTATACTTGTCATTGGAACTGAGTGTATTTCATTTTATCACAATTGCCACCTGCTATCCAAACATTTCTTCAAAATTTGTGAATGTGTGTCAGCGAAAACTTAATAAAAAGAAATCATTTTTCGGCTTTCGACTACAATATTCTTAAAGTAAAAGATAAAATTAAAAATAAACCCATGTTAGGAACAAAAAGTCTTAGAAAATATGTATTTAGCTCTATGTAATATACAGGGTGTCCCATTTTAAAAATAGACGTAAATATCTCTTAAGTTAAGGGCTTAATGAAAAAATTTAATAAAAGCTGTAAGGTTTTGAGTGGGACATCTAATGTTGACCTTGACATTCAAGGTCATTTCAAGGTCAACTTGATTTTTTCAAATAAATGGTAACACATACTTTTGACACCGGAAAGAGAAGACTATATATTTAGCTCTATGTTAATATGTACTTGGCTCTATGTGCCTAGCTCTAAGTATTTAGTTCTATGTACTTAGCTCTATGTACTTAGCTCTCTATGTACTTAGCTAACTTAGCTCTCAGTAAATGCATATGTCAATACAACTTATTTAGGTACAAAAATAACTAATGATCGAAACTCTACAATGCCTGTGAGCTTGGGAAAAGTGAATTGAAAATAGCATCTTCTTAGATAACAAGTGCCGCCAACGCCAAACCAATTGAACTTTCGGGCAGAAATTTTTACCACTTATTAAAGGTGTAAAAAGCCTCAAAAATCCTGAATTACAAGTGTCTGTGATGAAAATTGCATCAATTATTAGCAATTGAAGAAAAGGCCATTTTCGACCATTTTTGAGCTCTTCCGCATAAACAAATTATCGGAATTTAATCGGACTTGTCTCATTTTATAGGCTTATTTAATACCTACCTTTTTTGTATAAACTTTTTTTCGCTATGAATAATAGTTTTTTTACGTGAGTCAAAAAACCACTTTTCCATTACTTTGACTATTGTTTAAACAAAGTTTCGCACTAGCCTCGAGTTGATTTTTTGATATTTTGTTTATAATAGGTTTCCGAACAATATTCCACAAATAAACTTCTAATAGTATTTTTTTTCCCGAAACACACTGTTTCATGTCTATAATGACTGGGCTAATTTACCATTTTCTGTAAACAACGTTTCTTAAAATGGCTCATCATTTTGTATTTTATTGTCAACCTAATATCTGTATTACATAAAAATTTATATAATCTTTGAATAAATATTTATTTATACTAAAATAATTGTGTATGATACTTTACTAAAAGAATAAAAAATATTTGGAAAGAGATAACATTCTGTACGCATATTATGGCTATTAAAATTTTATCTGTTTCAATACATTTTTATTGCCGTAATTTTGGGAGTAATCGTAATTTAAACAAGATAATGACCAATATATATATATATATATACAAACTTTTTTAAAAACAAATTAGTGCCATACATTGGACTTATCGGATTCAAAATGAGTATCAACAAATTTCCATTCGAAATTAGACCGATACAACCTGAACTGGATGAAAAAATCAAGTCACTGTTTTTAGGTAACCGCGGCATTATTGCAACAAATTAATTTTTTGCATTTAATTTACTTCTCACAGGTGAGAAAGACGGATCTGTGGAAATTGGCCCAAAAAAGTATATATTTAGTTCTAAGTATGGCCAGACAGCTGAAACTATATACAATTTTGAAGTGAGATCGGACGATGTGTGGATTGTTACATTTCCCAGGTCAGGTATGTATCTTTTTAATCTGGCTAGTCTCAAATCCAAACACCTTCTGTTTCTAATTAACATTCTGGATGAAAAACTATTAAATATCTAATGAACTTCTTAGGTACTACGCTGATGCAAGAGATGGCATGGTTGATACTGAATGAGGATTACGATACTGCGAAGAAAGTTTCACTTTTTAAAAGGTTTCCCTTTCTTGAGTAAGTAAACAATAAACAGTAGATGAGGCATATAAAGTTATGAGGTAGTGGAATGATTTGGAAAGCTTAGGACACTATATTGCATAAACAAGCAGCTGTCATATCTGATATTCCATTACCATACTCATAATGTGAGTAAAGAATTTTCATAAAAGAAAACCTCTAATGTTTGTATGAAAACCTATTTTCATATTATCGAAATCTTATTTATTTTTTCTATATTTATTTAGGTTATCAACATTGATATCAGACCATCTTATGGCAGAAATAACAGAGGATATAGTGAATGACAAAAAAATATGGGAAGAATACAAAGAGTCATTGAAGCCCCGCTGGGAAATTTTAGAAAATACAGTCGGTAGGAGGTTCATAAAAAGCCATTTGCCCTTGTCGCTGTTACCTCCGACGCTGCTCACATCCGGAGCAAAGGTAGCTATCACAGACCACCTAGACTGGCCGTATCTAATTCCAATGCACGGGTACCAGTGAATGCAAAATCCGGGGAAGTGAAGTGTGGAAGGAAATCTGATCGCGCGCATCTTTAAGCAGATCCGGATTAAGTAATATTTTTATTACATATTAAATATTATATTGCATCTTATGACAAATATTCAATTTTAAGTTTGTAATTCAGAAAATAGTATATTTTAGTGTCATATTAAATAAAACTACAAAATAATTTAAATATATTTATTGTCCTCTAAATAATATTAATTTATTTAATATTTGCCTTTTCGTAGATTTTACGGAATTAAATAATTTGACTTCATGATTTATTCGTACATCGATATACTTTTCACATTCAGCCCTTATAAGTTCTATTAAATGATTACAATTGTTAGGCAAATTATCAAATTGATGTTCATGCAAATTTTCAAATATGTTCACATTCAGAAAGTTTTTTAATACATGATAAACAATTTTATTTTTCTGTAGCCTAGGTGTTCTGCTTTCATCATTATTTAATAATTTTATTAATTTTTATGTTTCTTAGCATATTACTACGACATCTCGAGATGGATACGTCCAACAACCACGATCTTTAATAAAAATTGACTGTACGAATACCGAATCTGAAATTAGTTTTGTTCGAGATTTTTTTATTTGAAAAAAATATTTAATTAATTTTCAGCTATCTCGAAATATCGGGAATTGGTAAAATTTCATAAAAATTCATAAAGACTCACATAAAGTAAATAATTACTAAAATTATTTTACGGTTTTTTTTTTTCATTAATTATTTTATAATAACAATATCATGTTAATCACTACACTATGTGGGCGAACAAAATTATAAAGCTAACCCTGGAAACTTGTGACGTTAACCGAAAAATGGCATACATTTTATATGTTCCTTTTTTTTACTTACCTAAAGAAGGAAACTTTTTGCCTCTCTTGACCAACTCGATCACTTCTATTTATACAGTGTTTTACAATACACTTGCCCATGATAGAACGTCTAATTATCGAAATTACAGCGATGCGTACACGTCAAATGCTAGGACACGACTGAGTGCTGGGCTCCAAATCAGGCTCCAAAGTGTTTTCACCAAAGTCGCTCTATAAGCAAGTCTAGGTGGTCTGTGGTAGCTATCAATATTTACGCGCACGATATCAATAAGCGTACACAATTTTCAGGTAGTTTATATTGCACGAAATCCAAAAAATGCTGCTATATCGAGGTATCATCAAGACCGCTCGTTAGGGATAGCCAACTATGTGGGAAATTTTGATCAGTACTGGGACCTCTTTGAAAAAAACTTAGGTACATATATATTTTTTATGGGGATTTATACAATTTTAGAATTGGTTTTGTGTTTTCAGTTGCTTGTGTGTAAAATTTCACGATAGCCTTTGTGTAAATTTTTACCTCTACATATGTGTAAAATTTTACAATTGTTTATTAGCTCCACATACTTGTAACTTGTTTCAGTATATTTCACACCATATTGGGAACATTTAGAAGAAGCATGGCAGCAAAGAAGTAACAAAAATCTTTTGTTCTTCTTCTACGAGGATGTGGTAAAGGTAAAGACAATTAGTCACTGTACCCTTTTATTAGAAATGTCCTATCTGTACACTACTTAGTGGTGTTTTTATTAACTGTGACAAATTTTTAGGATTATAAGAAGGCTATTGTGGAACTGTCGAATTTTTTGGAAAAAACCATGAACGAAGAACAAATATCGAAGCTAGCAGACTACCTGCGCATAGATAATTTTCGTAACACAAATCTACAACAAACAAACACTATGGTAAAGCTTATAAGTTTGAGAGGTCCCTACCAACATGTTAGAACGGGAAAATCCGGTGACTGGAATGACTATTTCACCCAGGAGCTTGACGCAAGAGCAAACAAGTGGACAGAAGAAAATTATAAAAATACTACATTAAGATTTCCAGTAAAATTGTATTAATTGGAGAGTAAAATACAGGGTGTCCGGTAAGTACCTCCTAATCTCTCGGGAGTGTATAGGGGAGGTCAAAATAAAACTAGTCCTTCCTATAATATTTTTTCCTAATGTGCCCCCTAACGGAGTTATGGGGGGTCAAAGGGGTACCTAGAAATTAACGTTTAGGGTTATAACTTTGAAACCACCCTGTATATTTTAATAAAATTTTCGTACGTTGTATTACACATGGAGCTCTACGATTTGATGCTAAAATCAACTTTTTGCTATTATCAGGTGTCCAGAAACGGACTGGCCCTATCACAATTTTTCTCAAAATTTTGACAGAAGTAATTTTATCAAACTGAAAATATTATTATTAGATACTCTGAAGGTTTTTCTTTAAAAATGGTACTCTTTATTTATTTCGAAAAAATGAACGGTTTGCGAGATAAATCGGTTTTGAAAAAAATTGGTAACAAATACAACAACAATTAAAATTTATTTTTTTACAATAAAATCATTCCCGCTAGTGCCAGCCTACAGATTCACCATAAACATTTACTGGTGGTGAATTAAGGGAATGAATAATGCCGTTTCTTGTAAAATCAACATCTATGACCAAAATACATCTACAAATTATTATTGCTCTTGTCTCCATGGAGTTCTTTTCTATTGTTTTCGTTGTTAGACCCTGTTGATTTTAAAGTACTTGTCAAAGGCGCGTGACAGAATAAAAATTCAATTTTATTGTGGTATTCGTTTTAAGCCGTTAGAAATAACATTTAAAAATGGAAGAATATTCCTGTGCAGAATATGCTGATATGCACCTAATTTATGGGGAAGCATTATGCAACTCCGTGGAGGCAAGAAGACTTTATGAGGAAAGGTTTCCGGGTCGACATTTGCCGAGTCCAAAAACTTTTGAAAGAGTTGATCGTAGTTTAAGAGAAACAGGTAAAAAAAAATAGTGAAAAACGTTAGTGAAACTAATTTCTTCCGAATCCTTTATTTAGGAAGCTTTTTGCCACGCCGTGGTGGAGCAGGAGCCCCGAGGAGAGTACGAGACCCTCATGTAGAGGAACAAATATTGGAAGACGTTGCTAATAATCCTTCAAATAGCATAAGGAAGCTTGCGGCGCAAAACAATGTTACAAAATGGGCTGTACATGAAACTCTGAAAGAACAATTGCTTTACCCGTACCACATCCAAAAAGTACATGCTATGTCTCCAGATGATTATCCAAAAAGACTTCAATACGCCAATTGGTTTTTACAGCATCATATTCGGAATCATAATTTTGGTACATCTATTTTGTTCACCGATGAAGCAGGTTTTACAAGAGACGGCATAATTAATTCGCATAATCTACATGTCTGGGATGAAGAAAACCCTCACGCTTTAGTTCAAACTCGCTACCAACAAAGGTTTATGGTGAATGTGTGGGCTGGCATTATCGGGAATCATTTGATTGGTCCATTTATTCTGGAGCAAAGACTTAATGGTGCTCTTTATTTGCAATTTTTAGAGGAAAATCTAAATATTTTGTTAGAAGAAGTGCCCCTTCAAATAAGAACTGAAATGTGGTACATGCATGACGGTGCACCACCCCACTTTGATCGTTTAGTACGTCAACATCTGACGAATGTTTTTGGTGATCGATGGATAGGTCGAGGCGGACCTGTATTATGGCCACCTAGGTCGCCCGACCTAAACCCATTAGACTTTTTTCTGTGGGGTCATTTAAAAAATAACGTTTATTCAACACCCGTAAATAGTAGAGAGGAACTTCTGCTGAGGCTAACACAGAACTGTGACCATCTCCGCAATAATCACGGAATATTATTTCAAGTGCACCGGGAAAACATTCGTAGGATTAGAAAGTGCATTGAAGTACGGGGTGCTCATTTTGAACATCTACCGAAGTAACATTTAGGTACCTTTGTTCATTGTTGAATGTTCTTTGTTGCATGTCTTGTAAGTAAGTTATTTTTCAAATGTTATTTTTAATTGGTCACTACTTGCTCATAAAGTATAGCCAACCCGTTCAAAGATTTCTGGACTTGATAAAGTTAAAGAAATTAAATGCATGAAATAATATGTAAAAAAAATAAATTTTAATTGTTGTTGTATTTGTTACCAATTTTTTTCAAAACCGATTTATCTCGCAAACCGTTCATTTTTTCGAAATAAATAAAGAGTACCATTTTTAAAGAAAAACCTTCAGAGTATCTAATAATAATATTTTCAGTTTGATAAAATTACTTCTGTCAAAATTTTGAGAAAAATTGTGATAGGGCCAGTCCGTTTCTGGACACCTGATAATAGCAAAAAGTTGATTTTAGCATCAAATCGTAGAGCTCCATGTGTAATACAACGTACGAAAATTTTATTAAAATATACAGGGTGGTTTCAAAGTTATAACCCTAAACGTTAATTTCTAGGTACCCCTTTGACCCCCCATAACTCCGTTAGGGGGCACATTAGGAAAAAAAATTATAGGAAGGACTAGTTTTATTTTGACCTCCCCTATACACACCCGATTAGGAGGATTAGGAGGTACTTACCGGACATCCTGTATATACTTGTACTTATAATTGAGAGTATTTCGTTTTATTATCGGTATTATATTCACAATTGCTACCTGCTAGCCAAACATTTCTTCAAAATTTGTGAATGTGTGTCAGTGAAAAATTAATAAATAAAAATTCCTTGTGTGTAATTTGTGTATTTGAATAGAGATAGCATTTTTAACTATTACAAAACATTTTTATTGCACTGCTTTCGATTACAATATTAAGTTAAACAAAGATAACGGTCACTATATTTTTTTTAGGCGAATTTTGTTTCTAGATTGTGGTCATCAGTTTTAAGATGAGTGCCGTCAATAAATTTCCGTATGCAATAAACCAGCTAGAACATAAATTAGATGAAAAAATTATATACTTAGTTATGTTTAGGTAACTGCACAATCACAGCTGCTTATTTTTTTAAATCGATGTATTTAACTTCATGCAAATTTTGATATGTGGCAATGAAGGATTCGTGTGAAATTGTACCAAAAAAAAATTACTTAGCTACAAATACGGACAAGTTGCTAAATTAATTGGAATAGCAATATTGTAATCAATACCCTGTATATTGTTCCAATTAAAAAAAAAATCGAGACACGTCGATTTTCTTTTCAAGGGGGACACATGATGGCGTATGTTTTGGTGTCTTGGAAGCTACCCCTTATTAGGGGGTGTAAAATACCCTTAAACTTTAAATGACACTCTATGTTGAGTCACACAACATTTTAAAGCTTTTTCAATTGCTTGCTAGTGAAAAAGGATTCATTCTGTGCGTTGCAATATTATTTATTATTCCTCACGTTAAAATAATATCCTGGTATATGTCGAATATTTAAATTTTAATTAGTAAAACAATTTTATCACATTAATTTAACTAAATACTTGTAATTATTTCCGCGTGTCATTGAATTTCCTCACCGTTATATAAAATAATGCATTATATTATAACATCCGTAAATTCCAAATTAATAATTATAATAATTTCACCAAATGGTTTTAAAATTTTTCCTTTGTTCTACCGATTCGACAAATATATACCTGAATTATTATTCTATTTAAATTATTTTATAAACTAATTAGCCCAGTTACTGTAGCTGAAAATATAGTAATACCTCCCAATTTTTTATAACTGCATCGATTTTTCTCAAACTTTAGAATTAGGCTCATCTTACCACTCACTTCAAAACTTATATATGCGCTAGGTGTACTTTTTGTTCTTAAGGGGTGAAAACCACCCTTATTGGAAAAAAATAAAAAATACAAATTTAAGTATTTTATGTAATCAAATCTTTTTTATTTGTGCAGTATGAGTAATTTCATGTGCTACCTAACATGATACTTAATGTATCCCAAATTTTCAACCCGGAAAAAGCTTTAAAAAGCACCCATTGGATGAAAATAACATACATTTTTTTTTTCAACTTGAAACGTTTTAATCATGCATTTTTATCAAATTAAAATTGATTTCTTGATTAAAAAATCTTTTTTATCGATTGCAACTTTTCAACCCTTGAAAATACCCCTTCTTTCGAAAATAAAATGAAAAAATATTATTGAAAGAGTAGAAACATTTTAAATGTGCATTCGTATTAAATAAACATTTATTCCCTTATTATAATATAGTAGTTATAATATAGTATAGTACTGGTTTATTCGAATATTTACATACTAAATACGTATATATACAAAAAAGATCTAAGTGCTTCAATATTCTTGTTTGACCTAAATTTTCCTAAAATTATCACCTATACACGTGTTTATTTTTTTGACGATAACTTTCTTACTTTTTAAGATTTTTAATCGCACAAAGGCTCATTTTGAAGGGAATTGTAAGGGCTACGTGAACTGTTGAGATGATCTTTTTTAAGCCCTTCATTTTTAAGTTTGAAGGGTTTAAAGGGCTCGAAAAGGGTGGTTCTCTCATTCATATGATAAATTAAAATGGCGATATCTCGATTAATATTAATTTTAGAGGAATAAAAAAATTAAACAAAATCTTCAGCAAAAATAAAGCTAAATTTTTTTATTCTTGTATTTTTCTTCGTACACCCCTTAATTTTTAAGTTACAGCGTAAAAATCGAATTTTTTTAAAAATTTGAAAAATTAACATTTTCAAAAATTAAGTTTTTTTTTCGAAATCATGCTTTGTAAGTGAGCCAAAGACCCAGAACATATTCTTATAACATAAATGAAGAAATCTGTAAATGAATTGCATTTAATTTTAATTCTGTCGCCAAAGGCACTGATTTGTTTATTACTTTTTTCTTAAAAAAAATAAGACTATCATGTTAATTCGACCATATTTCCGTTAATTTTGATTCTAAAGACTTTTAAAACAGCTCATTTTAAAGGTTTTTCAAAGTACTTTAAAAAAGGTCCAAATTGTTTTTTTCCTAATATTTATGGTTTTGGCGTTATTTAACGTTAACTGGTTCCAATTTAGTTTTTAGCTAACATATAATAATAATGTTTGAAAATCCATAACTCGGTTTATATTGTAATTAGAGAAAAACAAAATAGCGCCATTGGATTTGTTTTTTTATTAACTTTCTTTTTGTTCATTGCAACTTTTTCATTGAATCCAATGGTTTTAGAGTTATTTGCAAAAAACTATCTGAATACAAGCACTTTTTTAGTAAAAAATCAACAATTTCAATGATAAATTACTCGGAAAGTATTGGATTATCCAAAAAACTTTATATAAAATTTGTTACTTAAAATTGCCTCCTCTGTCGATTCCTCTGGTTATTTTGGGCGTAAAATTTTCACCCCCAAGAAGGGGTGGGAACCACCCCCAGGGCAAAAACACACTTCGGCACTATATAAGTTTTGTTCCTTGAGGCATTCCCCACATTCAGTCAAAATTTCACGTCAATCGGTTCAGTTATAAAGAATTGGGAGGTAAAAACCCTGAGTAACTGGACTAAATAGGCAGAATGTTATCCCCAACTAATTGGATAGTGTTGTGTTTTAAAATGCTTCAAATAATAGAAAGAACTAATTTAATCAGCAATGGTGTGGAAAATACTAGAAAATAAATCCTATAAGTTTTTAGCTAAATGAGCAAGGTCAAAATTCTTATTCTTATCTTATAACAGTCTTGTCAGATGTTGAAATAATTAAATAGAATTTACTTCATGTTCAACCTCTGCAAATTGATGTTTCGAAATGGGTTCTATAAAATTTCCATATTTAATTGAACCACAAGACCCAGCAGTGGACAAGAAACTGAAAGCTCTGTTTTTAGGTAATTACCAAATAAATGTTCTTATCAGTTTGATTTATTTTTTGCATACTTTTACTAGGACAGCGGAATATTTCAGTAACAATAGGACCGAAAAGGTTTGTGCACAGGCTCGAATATGGGTTGGTTGCTGAAAGAATATATAACTTTGAAGTCCGGCCAAGTGACGTGTGGGTTGTTACATATCCGAGATCAGGTACGTCAATGACAATTTTATGGAACCTCTGTTATACGGGTTGTCATCGGAAGTGGGGTTCTTAATATACAGGTTGTCCGCAAATTTCACCGACAACGCTTGACTGCATATTCAGGACGATAAATAAAAACGATCTACGAAAGAGTTAATTAAAAAATTTTTATTATTGAGTTACAAGCTTTCAAATTTGTCGAAAAAAATAGTCTAGTCACTGAAGGCGAAATTAAAGTAAAAGCTCCCAATTTTTCCGGATAGCATGGATTTTCCTGAAAATTTGCATACAAGCTCATCTGACCCCCCCACTTCAAAATTTATATTGTCTAGATGTGTGCTTTTTTCTATTTGGGGGTGAAAACTACCTTTGTACGAAAAAAATTGCGAAAATCGCAGATTTATGTATTTTAAAGATTCAAATCATGCTCAAATTGTTGGATAAAGTTCCTTTCATGTTTTTTTAATATAAATTATGAAATTTAATTACTTTTGAACCCTTAAAAATTCTTAAAAATTAACCTTCCATGGCCAAAAATATAGAAAAAAAGTTTTTAACAGTTTAAAATATTCTTTTGGTGCATTCACAATGTGTTGCATTTATTTTGTTATTCATTAGAAATCTTACGACTTATTACAAAGTTGCAACCCTTAAAAAACATCCCTTATAATAAAATAAAATATTATTGAAAGATTGAGATGTTTTAAGTAATGGTATAATGTTGAATTATAAATTTTTTATTGGTTTTCAAATGATCTATGATATATTGCAACTTTTCAGCCACCCAAAAAACCCTTATGGAAAACCTACCCTTTATAGAAAAATTTCCTAAAAATTATGTGTGAGTATGATGATATAATTAATTTTTTTAATTTTATTGAATTTATTCTTAATATTTTTTTATTTATAAATAAATTTATATCAAATAAAAACAAAATTATATACATTATAAATGGATACGTGTGTGTATGTATATTATTAAAATACTTACTCAAATCAGTTCACAAGTGCTCCAAAATACACAAAGAGGTAATTTACCTGCACCGAAAATTTTACCGAAAAAATGCGATTAATTTTTTTACCATAACTTTTGTAATTTTAAAGTTATAAATTTACTCAAAAAACATTTTGTAGGAAATTTAAAGCACTTTAAGTTCTGTGATTTGCAGTTTTTTTAGCCCTTCGTTTTTTAGATTTGTAAGCTAAAAGGGCTCAGGAAAGGCAGAATTGGAGCTTAGTTTTGAGCTTCTAACGGTCATAACTAATTTTGTCCTACAAAACTTAAAAAAAAGCAAATTGGCCAGTAAGAAAAAAACCTACAATTTCTTATTCTATATTTTTTTTATAACTGTTAGTTTTTTAAATATTTTGAAAAAAAGGTGATTTTAAAAAAAATTGAAAAATTTTATTCAAAAGTAAATGAATTTTTTTTAAATTTAGGCTTCTAAAATCGTTCAAATTTACAGAATCTACTGTTAATATAAAAATAAAGTAAATTGCAGAAGGAATGCGTTTAATTTTTTTCCGTCGTCATTAATTTTAATACCGATTTTGTTTCTCAAAAATCAAGACAATCATATTATTTTGATTGTAACTTCATTCGTTTTCATGCTAACGACTTCTACTCCACCCCACCACTCAATTTAAAGGTCTTTTCAAGAACTTTAATAAGTGTTATATAAGTTTTCCTCGAAAAACCTTTAATTTTTCCGCTACAGGACGTTGAAAGTTTCGATTATAGCTATCTTCGAAATTGACTTCAACTTCTGGGAGTCATAACTCGGGATCTATACCATCTACGAAAATTAATAAAAAGCAATCTCTTTGCTATTTATTTACCTTCGTTTTTGCTTATGATCAATTTTTGATAAAACTTGTAGTTTTTGAGATATTCGCGAAAAATGGCTCAAAAACATGCATTTTTTGGGCTAAAAATGTTTAGGCGCAAATAACTCAAAAAGTATTGACTGTACAAAAAATTCTTATAGAACATTTTTTGCTTAAAATTCGCCTCTTTATCGAATCGTTGGGTTATTTTTAATAAAAAAATTGCCACCCTCCAGAAGGGGTGGCACCGGCACAGTTGAAATTTCACGTCAATCCATTCCATCCGAAAAAATTGGTAGCCAAAATGCTGGACTATAATACTAATTATTTAATTAATAACTTCATAACCTTTTGCCGATCGCGTTAAAATTTGGCACATTTATTTGGATTATTATGGCGTATTATTTCTTAAAGCTTTAGTCAAATCGATATACTGGATGATAGTTTTTTCCGGTTACCTCTTCCTTTTAGAGTTTAAAACGTTTGCACTGATCGTATTTTTTTAAAACGGACAGCAACATTGAAAAGGTAATTTTATTTAAAAAAAAATATTGTCTCTTGAGAAAATCGACTACAGAAAGCCATTTTTGAGAAAAATGGCGTTATTAGCAGATCTGTACGTTTCAGTTTGCGTAGTAATATCACGAATTTAAAACTTTGAGTTCAATAGGAGATGAAAACAAGATGTTGATGGCTGTGGCTATCAGGTAATGTCATTATTGTCGTGTTTCTTTAGGATTCTCATCACTCCACACATGCAGACTATGAAAATTTACAACTCCGTTCCTTGTAAAATAAGATTTGTCGGTACAAAACTATTTTTGAAACAAATTATTATCTTCTGCGGAGTTAAATGAAATGTCCGAAGAAGTTGCTTTTTTAAAGTTTTGTGAATATCAGTTTTACATACATTTAATTGTCGTGATACACTGCGGACACTTCATAATTTGCATGTTTTATCAAAATAATCTCTAAATTGTACTCGTAATTTTTTTAACAGATACAGTAAACTGAGAAATAAAAAATTTTCCCTTCTTTGAAACTCTATACTTACCTACTCACACTGTATATCTGAAGTTTCCCGTCTTGTAATGCACCCCTCGTGGTCCATTAATATCACCTAATGATGTTTCGGGAGCTACTGTCGCATAAACATCAGTTTTCTGGATACGGAGGGCTGTAACTATCGTAGCGTGTAACTAACACATAACTTCTCTTTGAATCTAACCTACTTTGAACACTCCAATTATTGCTCGATGCTTCGTTACGGTTCAGATGTTGTCTTTGTACCTTCTAAGTCCAAAACTGAACGATAAGGAATTGGTTTCTTGTAATCTTACAACAATGTTTTACTTTCGCTATTTATATTTAAAGGCATCAAGTTTTATTCTAAATGATATATCAAAATTCTTGTAAATAGCTAAATTATACAGGTTAGCCCATCGAAAACGTACCACATGGCATTACAGGGTAGTAATGAACTTTTCGGCAAAATCCAAAAACAGGTAAAGTTTGCTTCTGAGGGGGACAACTTTTGGCGCAAAAAGCATAGCAAAATCTTCAACCCCCTAAGTGGGGGTGCCATCCCCCAAATTTTTTTAAATGGGAATGGGGGTCAAGTGGGGGGTCATTAGAAAGGGCTTTTAATTCTCTATACATCGATTCTTACTTTTTGAAAATCGATCCATTATTTTAGAAAATATGCAGCTTTGAAAATACGAACAATATTTTTGACGAGAAATGCGAAAATCGATTTAATTTTACTTCAAAACTTACGGTATTAGCTTGGTAAATTCCTTCAAAAGAATTCGCTGTTTTTTTTTTTGATTTGCGAATTCTTTAGCCTGATTTTGGTGAGCAAAAAATTGTCCGCTTTTTGTTTCGTATTTAGATAGGCCACAAGAAGTTGCTAGATAACTGTCTTGTGACTTGTAGTTGAAGAGTACCAATACTGCCGAGTCTTTTAAATTGATTAATTATGGTGTACTCAATTCCAGAAAGAGTAGAAATTATTGAGCTTTTTTTCAAAAACAATGAATGCGGAAATCGGGTCGCCGAACTGTTCAACCAACGGCATCCTGAGAAACATGCGTCTGGAAAAATTGTTCGCGAATTGGTGGCCAAATTTCGCGAAACTGGCTCCGTTCATAACAAAAAGAGGCAGGTTGAAAATCCGGTACTAAATGAACCTACGGAAATAGCGGTATTGGGGCAAGTGGCAATGGATAGTACGCTGAGTACAATGCAATTGGCTACTGCGACAGGAGTGAGTCGTACAAGTGTCCAACGAATATTAAAAAAATACAAATTCCATCCTTATAAGATTCGGCTAGTGCAAGAGCTAAATGAAGACGATTTTGATCGTCGTTTGCAATTTTGCGAAATAATGACTGAACGAGCGATAAACGATAATTTCCTCTTTAATGTGTGTTTTTCGGACGAGTGTACGTTCTTCTTGAATGGTTTAGTGAATCGCCATAATTGTCGTTACTGGGCTGATACCAATCCAAGGATTTTCCATGAGACACACTCCCAACACCCCCAGAAGTTGAATGTATGGGCAGGTATTTTTGGAAATTCCATTGTAGGTCCTTTTTTCCTTCCTGGAAATTTGACAGGCGATATGTACTTGGATTTACTACAAAATGTCATCGACCCAGCTCTAACAAATATCATAGAGGACGACCCTGCTTACAATGAACACGAACTGATTTTCCAGCAAGACGGAGCTCCTCCACATTACTCGCTCAATGTGCGCAATTACCTAAATGAGACGTTTCCAGGACGCTGGATAGGACGAAGAGGTGCAATTGAGTGGCCCCCTCGGTCACCCGACTTAAATCCTTTAGATTTCTTTCTCTGGGGGCACATTAAAAGCAAAGTTTACAGCACTCCACCTGATACCTTGGAAGATCTGCGAGGACGAATCATTAATGTATGTCGCGAAGTAACACCGCAAGTGCTCCAGAATGTTCGACAACGGTTTGAAGACAACCTGTATCATTGTATGCAAGTTGGCGGACAACATTTTCAGCATTTACTTGACTAATACCGTAAGTTTTGAAGTAAAATTAAATCGATTTTCGCATTTCTCGTCAAAAATATTGTTCGTATTTTCAAAGCTGCATATTTTCTAAAATAATGAATCGATTTTCAAAAAGTAAGAATCGATGTATAGAGAATTAAAAGCCCTTTCTAATGACCCCCCACTTGACCCCCATTCCCATTTGAAAAAATTTAGGGGATAGCACCCCCACTTAGGGGGTTGAAGATTTTGGTATACTTTTTGAGCCAAAAGTTGTCCCCCTCAGAAACAAATTTAACCTGTTTTTGGATTTTGCCGAAAAGTTCTTTACTACCCTGTAATGCCTTGCTGTACGTTTTCGATGGGCTACCCTGTATAGTCGTCAGTACATCAATCATTGCGTTTTAGTGATACATGCAAGTGCCAAACTTTGCGTGTGCCTTCCTTATAACGAGTCCGACAAACTTTGCTTCTAATGAGTGATGTACTGGGGAGTAATACAAGTATATCCATTTTAGGTACTACCTTAACACAGGAAATGGTATGGTTGATTTTAAACAACGATTATGAAACAGCTGCCGAAGTTGTACTTAACGAAAGATTTCCTTTCTTGGAGTAAGTAAATATGACGATAAAATTTAACTTAGTTTAAACGTAATTTTACAGATTTTCAACTTTTGTGTCCGACGGACTTATAGCAGAAGTGAAGAATGAAATTGGCGACGATAAAGAAAAATTGTCAAGATTTCTGAAAATTATAGAACCACAATGGGAAGTCTTGGAAAGAACTGATGGTCGCAGATATATTAAGACTCATTTACCACTGTCTCTATTACCTCCTGAGCTCTTCACATCAGGAGCAAAGGTTACTATTAGCGTTACTTAAATGAATGAATGACAGAGAAGTGGTCGTTTCTTTTTTCTGTTCTGCCAATGTCATAGAAATTAAAACTGTTGGTATAGACCAGGGCGGATTTGTCGAAATATCCCACATCTTGGATGTAAGAGGGGGCAAGCTAATTTTTGCTGGGATACCTTCAGAACAACTCACATAATAAAAGTGTAGATCCCTAGACGTGGGCGAGGTCCAGAACATTTTCAAAATTGCAAAAATGTTTAAAAAATTTTTAAAAATGCCTATTTTATCTGAGTTTTCTACTTATATCTTGGAACATATGCATTTTGGAAGAATATTGAAGATATAAGTAAAAAACTCAGATAAAATTGGTATTTCTTAAAATTTTTTAAACATTTTTGCAGTTTTGAAAATGTTCCGGACCAAGGGATCTACACTTTTATTATGTGAGTTGATCTGATCTAGTACACTAGTGCTCCTTTATAGGTTTCTTTTTCTTTACTAAATATATCAGGCATCTTATGTGGGCTTGTATAATGTTTTTCTCATTTACTCTAGGTGATTTATATTGCACGCAACCCCAAAAATGTAGTTATATCAGCTTACAATCAACACATAGCACTTAGGGTCAGACACTTTATAGGCGACTTTGAAACCTACTGGGATCTATTTGAAAACAACTTAAGTGAGTATACGTCAGTACGAATCTTACAATAATTAATAATACCTTTAACATTTTCCAAGATAAAAGCAGAATACACGTTGCCTAAATGTTTACTAGCATAATACAATAAATCTTTTTTTTAGTGCCAGGTACACCTTACTGGGAACATGTAGAGGAAGGATGGAAGCACAGGCAGGACAAAAATTTTCTTTTCCTGTTCTATGAAGACATAATTAGGGTAAATTTGTTTATTTATTCGTTTATTTTTTTACTATAACCACTTATAAAATTCAAATCAACTTGTAGCGAATTATAGTAATTTTCAGAAAGAAAATAGCAGATCATTAATAAAATAACGAAACAGTAGCGGCTCCAAATTGGAGCCTTGGAGAACACCTGAATAAGGTTTATTTTTGCTTCTTGGCAACTTTTTTACTTTACTTCCGTTTTTCTTATTTCACTTTTCTTTTTGCGCCCTCTTGTTCTCTTTACGCCTGCTTTCTTTATTCCTTCGAAAATCTTCTCGTTGTTTTGAAATGTGCCACATGCGAACTCGCCTTGTTTCTCTCAAACTGAAAGAGATAGAGAGAGAGAAGAACCATACTTCTTTCCGTAAAAATGACTATTAGGCCAAGCAAATAAGATTTTTACTCAAAAAAAGTCATATCCGCGAGATTATTGTAAAATTGTCTAAAGCAACATAATACAAGACATCTCTCATCTCGTGAGTCAAAAACTTTTATTGGCTAACTTTTCTATTTAAACAAATAAGTGAGGAAAAGTGACTCACAGACAGCTTGTAGGGAGTAAAATTATCTACAAAATGAGACTTGTTAAATTAAAATCGGTTAATAAACAAAAAAGTTATTGCAAAAAAAACAAGAAAACTGCCCATTTTTCAATTTGTTTATAACTATGGCATTTATTGTTAAATTTTTATAAAACCTATGACAAGTTGAGGGTCTTGTCATACTTTAAAAGTTTGCCCAAAGTAGGCGCTGTAGGTGCAATAGTTTTCGCACAGTTCAATTTGTTATACTGTACAGGCGTTAATTTTCAACCAAACATGATTCTGAAAGCGTCATTGTAATCTTAAAGACGTTTTTTTGACATTAACATTCTCAAATTGTGCATTAAAAAACCGTGCGTTTTTCGCATATAAACAATTTGAATAAAATTGTTGCTATTTATGCTACCTCACTGAAAATAGATATAATGGATAGCTGGCAAAAAAATACAAATTAAAAAAAGCACCCTCTACGACCAACAGGAGCCAAGATAAGATTTTTTTAAAATCGTTTTAAATTGTTTATAAATATTAAGACTTGAATTTTTCGCAAAATAAAGTTTACGACGTAAACTACGATTTAATTAACGACTCTTGAGACCTTTAAAGAGAAGGTACTCGCTAAGTAAACTGTCCGGCGGCCGGCGGCGTGGTGGTGTTCAAATTGATGCGCGCTGTAATTTTTGCAATATCTCGACTTCTATTCATCGTAGAAACTTATTTTTTTTAAACTGGGGTAGCTTGACAAAAAAATAACAATGGACATATTTACGAATTCGTAAAATAGCCCTGAACCCCAGAAAAAATGCACTTAATTTTTTTAATTCACAAAAATTATTGTTAAACGAAATATTAAATAAAATTTCAATTTCGGAATTATTTTGCTATTATTAAATAAATAAATGAAGGTATCATTCATTTAAAAAGTTATTTTTTTTTACATATTAAGGCAGTCTTTTCAATATTTTGTTAGGTATTTAATTACGATTTAAATGTAAAATTAAAGTAAAAATTCATAAATTATTTTCAAATTAGCGCCCACTTTTGGCACACTTTTAAAGTATGACAAAACCCTCAACTTGTCATAGGTTTTATAAAATTTTAACAATAAATGCGATAGTTATAGTCAAATTAAAAAATGGGCACTTTTCCTGTTTTTTGCAATAACTTTTTTGTTTATTAACCGATTTTAATTTAACAACTCTCATTTTGTTGATAATTTTACTTCCTATAAGCTGTGAGTCACTTTTCGCTCAAATTGATGGTTTTCCCTGCAAAGTGAAAAAACTGGTTTCCTCACTTATTTGTTTGAATAGAAAAGTTAGCTAATAAAAGTTTTTGACTCACGAGATGAGAGATGTCTTGTATTATGTTCCTTTACACAATTTTACAATAGTCTCGCGGATAGGACTTTTTTCGAGTTTCTCTTTTATTTTCACTAATTTTCCTGTATATGTATAAGCGCGATGGGACTCGCCCATTTTCAATGTCGCTTATTTAAATAATTATTCATTTTTATATCTTGGATACGTGACAACTTCTGATGAAGACATCTCAAACATATTTAATTTTTTATATCTTTTTTGCCTACTGAATAGTTCCATCTGTAAAATATGTGTGTCCTAGGCAGGATATGTTTACAAAAAACAATACTTTTAACAACTAAATACGATTTATAGGATTACAAAAAGGCCGTGACTGAGCTGTCAAATTTCCTAGAGACACCAATGAGCAACGAGCAGACATCAAAACTGGCTGATTACCTACACATAGACAATTTTCGCAAAAATCAGCAGACAACGAACAACTACGGGGAGTTCTTCAGCGTCAAAGGTCCATATCAACATGTTAGAGTAGGACAGTCTGGTAATTGGAATGAATATTTTACAGGACGACTTAAGGAGAGAGCGAACAAGTGGATAAGAGAACATTATAAGAGCACAACATTGAGATTTCCAATTGATTTAGACTTGCAGTCTTAAATAATCGAGAATATCTAGTGGGACCCGTTAGATAATAGTATTCTGCCCCCTCGCCTTACAAGTCCTCGATCTATGGGCTAATCCTTGCAGTTCAATTAGAATAATAAATAAATTGTAATTACTATTATCTAAGATCAAAACTGTTTAATAGGTACCAGTGCTGTAAACAACCAGTAAAGTTTAAGAAAATAAAAGGTAGAATAAAGTATATTAACAACAATTTTTGGATATTTAATCCTATTATGCCACTCAAACCACTTAGATAAGGAATAATTGCAAACAAAAACAACGAAATTAAATATAAATTAAACGTTGTTTCACAAACAGACTTGGCAACTAATATTCGTCGTTATTATTTCATGCAGGTCCTTACAGTGTACAATCCTACAATAATAAAACATTGCCTAATGACGACTACATTATTATAAGTACCACTGCAGTCATTTATTAGCTCACAAGCGGACTATTTTATTCCCAAGACGATAATATGGTTACTTACCAGATCGTCATTCCTACTTAGCATGTAAATAATAAGTGTCGGTAGCATGCGACATGAATGTAAAATATGTTCTAAATTCTCCTTCGGTTCCGATCGAAAATGCGTTGTAACAAAGAATATGTATAATAATTACACAGCCCCACAAAAATAAAAAGTTGTGTACATAGATCACCGTAAAAAAATACACAAGATCTATGTATTTGTGTGTCTGTTTTTTTTTGTGGGGTTGTGTAATTGTTAAACTACACCATATTATTATATTGTAATTTAGCAAAGCTCTTAAAACACTAAAACTGATTTTTAACCTCAGTATTATTCTCGTGGGTGAAAAAAAGTCACTGCCAAGCGAATGTACATTATTGCCGCAAAATCCTTAGAAGCAGATTCGAGAAACAAGCTTGAAATTTGTTGTTTGATCACATTTATTTGACATCAGCGAGATAACCGCAAAAGTTATTACATTCTTATATCTATTCGACCTACAAGGTAAATGGTCCAGAAATTGCAACGTAAAGATACGGACAAGGCAAATAGGTAACAAGTACGGGGTGTAATATTTCATCAAATGTACATGAAAATATACCTTGTGATACACAAATTAATCTAAAGGTATACCTTTGACAATTATTTTAAAATATTTATGGACATACCACTGAAATTTGGAGGACAGTAATATCCTCGACATAATCGGCATATACAAAAACTTTACACACAAAACAGAGCTTTAGTTATTTTAACAAATTCAACTATTGCTTTCAATATGGTTATTAATGTCTACTATTATTAAATACTTTCCCCAACTCGTGAAAACCTACAGTTATTCAACAAATGCAGTTCAAATGATTTTAAGGACGTAAGATCCTTTAGAATTTTGTCAACAAATTTGTTCACATTTCATTGGTATAAGTGGAAGTGCTTAATTGCGTTTTCCTCATCAGTTAAGTAATAGAAAGCAAGTAGTAAAAATTAGTGATGATATACTGTTTCTATTGTGTTCCACAAGGATCGATTTTGAGCCCTCTGCTTTTTATCTTATATATTTTGTGAATAGAATATTTATATTATGCACCTCTAGTCTGCAATTTAAATGAAGGAATTGAAATGATTAATAAAGATATTTCCAGTTTAACTGAGATTAAAAAAAAACATGCCTTAATGCCGCTAAAACCAAAGTTTATATTATTATTGGTCCTTCAAAAGAGGAGTAAAATGTATCTCTGTAACCTTTCCTTAACTCTTGACTGTCTTCTGCTAAGGTGGAAAAATATTTAGAAGTTATAATTTACATCAGTTTGAGATTCAAATCCCATATTGATAATTCCATTTTCAAAGCTTTGCAATCTTATATTAATTTATCAGAGTACAGACTTTCTATAAAAGAAAGTTCTATTCTATGTGAAGCACTAGTTCTTCTATAGTAACCAGTTTGCACGTTTTGATCTTTGTGATGGGTGATGCTAGGACAACAGAAATACAAAATATTTCTTTTAAAGATTGCATTATCTTATGTATGTTGTAATAAAATTTAGATTATTTTTCAATTTCATTTCTAGTCATTGAGGTGCTTAGTAAAATTTACACATGACTTCTATACAGGGTGTTAATGATAAGTTTTGCCAAACTTTAATGGCGTACTCTACCATAGTGGAGCCTAAATTTCGAAAAAATCTCTGTAACACTTTACCGTAGAGGAACCAAATTTGGTACATGATTTAGGTTTATTACTGGTCTTCTTTGACTGTGGTTTAAAGTTAATTGAAGCACTACAAGGTGTTTATTGGGGATGACTCACCCTAAAATTGTTCAGAACTTTTTTTTTCATTGACCGAATTGAAAGACGGTATCTGTTTTGGTTTGGGTGAATCGTATATCTACGGAGATTTTTGGCTATTTGGCTTTCAAATATCACTAGAAATTAAAATTTTTCTATGCGCATAAAAAACGTCGAAAATAATTCGAAAAATGTCTTAATTTTCTTCTTATTTAATCATGAATCTTTTTAAAAGTTGATTTTAGGCGAAAATGGAAGAGGAAAAAAATGTTTCTAATTAAATTTTACAAAATATGACTAGTTACAAATCGAATGAATTATTATTGTAAAAATCGTTAAAAAAACATTACTTTTTAGGGAATTTTTTTGGGGTCTTTACATCACACCAAACATCAAAATCAGTTAGATAGATTTTGCATAATAATTTTGCAATCCAGATTGAAAAAAAAATTGCAAATTTTCAAAAATGTGCACAGCGAAAACCAAGGCCCTTAGATACTTGAAAATTTAATCACGTATAGAAGGGCTCTCAAGCTTTCAAACACTTTTTGAAATATTCGAAAATTCGAATCCGTCAATTAGGAGAGCTCTGGCGCTTGTTTAAACATTGGTCGAATTTTTGTACTTTGTGAATACTCAATCAAATCAAATTTTTTAAAGCAAGTTTTAAAAGTTATTGGAAATACGCTTCTTTTTTTTTAAAAAAAAACAGATCGATTGGTCAATTAGTTACGGTGACGGTTAACTTTGATAGGCTATAACTAGCCTATCAAAGTTAACCGTCATTTACACTAAATGTACTGGGACATTCAGGCAAATTTCCGAGTACTTACCAGGTCTAAGTTTGCAATACTTTTCTTCATTGGCAACCTACTTTAAAACGTATTTAAAGTTATTTATGCAAGCGAGAAATTCAAGAAAATGGTAAGAAAAGCGTACGGGTGATGGTGGTGAGGGAAGCAGAGAGCGCGGCCGCTTCGGCCTGCTCGAAATTGAATCAGCGAGTTCAAAACCGCGACGCGTTTAAAAATTTTTAATATCTCAGCTTCTAGAGGTCCGATTTTGATGATTTTTTTTTAAATCGATGTCTCGCGATTTAAAAACAATTAGCGTATTTTCAAATGCCTATCGTTAATAATTATTATTGGCATTTCAATAGCCAATAATTATTTATTTTTAAATTTCCTTAAATTATCAACTTTATTTTTTTATTGTATCAAAAGTAAGTGCATAAACTTAGATACTGTTTATTAAAGGCCAAAAACAAATTTATTTAAATATTCTAAAATTGTTTAAACAACAACTATTTTTAAAATATGTCGAAAATTAGTAATTAATTAATTATTAATTTAATCATCATTTCTTTTGTGATTAAAGTATAATTCAAATATTATTTACTGTTTAAATAAGCAAATGAGAAATTAACTCATTATATTACAAAAATTCGACCAGTGTTTATACAAGCACCAAAGCTCTCCTAATTGATGGATTCGAATTTTTCAAAAAGCGTTTGAAACCTTGAGAGCCCTTCTATATGTGATTAAATTTTCAAGTATCCATGGGCCTTGATTTTTGCCGTGCAAAATTTTGAAAAATTTGCAATTTTTTTTCAAAATCTGGATTGCAAAACAATTATGCAAAATCTATCTAACCGATTTTGATGAAATTTGGTGTGATGATTCTACATAACATGCAATTTTCTTGGGCCAAGTATGAAGGTCCTATATTCAACTTAAAGACCCAAAAAATTCCCTAAAAAGTAATGTCTTTTAACCCCATTTTTGACGATTTTTTCGATTTTTACAATAATAATCATGATTCATTCGATTTTCAACTAGTCACATTTTGCAAAATTTAATTACAAACATTTTTTTCCTCTTCCATTTTCGCCTAAAATCAACTCTTGAAAAGATACATAATTAAATGGGAAGAAAAATATGACATTTTTCGAATTTTTTAAACATTTTGTGCAGCCAAAAGTTAAGCCCAGGTTTTTTTATGCGCATAGAAAAATGTTCATTTCTTGTGATATTTGAAAAAACCAAAAATTTCCGTGGATATACGATTCACCCAAATATGGACTCTGAAACAGATACCGTCTGGACTATATTAATTCATGGCAGAATTTAATTTTAAATTATTTTTACTCTTATTAAATTTTAAAAAACTTTATGATTTTCAAGAAAAATCGTAATAACTGACACAAGATTTTAACAGTGTGTATTAAAAAATAATCAGAAAGTCAGTAATAGGCAATTAATTTCTTTCAAACTTGTCAGTTAGTAATAAAATTATTTTATTTCAACAATTCTTCCACACTTTTTCTAAGTTCCCTTCACAGAAACCCAGCACAAGTAGCATATCAACTTGTTCGCTAAATGTAAATTTTTCAGTCATTTTCCACAACAATCAGAAGCAATTGTTGAATTTTACTAATAGCATTATGAATTTTGACACATTGAATTTCTTCGGAAATTATATGAATGTCTCTTGGGTTTGGACTTTTGTTTGCGAGTCTGAGTTATTTAAATGTCTAGTCCTATATTTGTTTTTAATTACACTTATATTAACCAACATATTGTAAATATTCAATCTGGTATTGATCTAGTTTGAATATTTGATTATTCGATAATTCTGGATTCTAGTACACCTTGAACATTGTATTCAAGGTTCAAGTTAAACAACAACGCTGTTTTAACAGGGTATTCAATATTCATGGACTCGACACCTTTTCTGTATCCATACCATATCATGATGTACGCCATATGAGAAGCAAAATAAACGTTACACAGCACATTAACGCCTGCAACCAGTAATTACCACCACAATTTTCACGCCTTGGCCTATAAAAACTGTCAATCATCTCGGGACATCTCTCGTGTAACAGTTACAGCATACTCGTTCTCTACCAAATAATAATTTCGCTGCTTGATAGTGCCCATCAAGC